CCATTGGGAATGATTTAATTATGTTAACAGGAGAGCTCTCTTTACTGTTGGCAGAGTGGCTATACAGCCTCACCGTGGCACAACTGTGTATGGCATATATATACTGCCCCGCAGATTGGACTATAGGGGTCAGAATAGTAATACTACACCACTAGCCACCCTAGTTCGAACTAGGGTAGCTAATGTAGTCATTCAAACTTGCATTGGGAATGATTTAATTATGTTAACAGGAGAGCTCTCTTTACTGTTGGCAGAGTGGCTATACAGCCTCACCGTGGCACAACTGTGTATGGCATATATATACTGCCCCGCAGATTGGACTATAGGGGTCAGAATAGTAATACTACACCACTAGCCACCCTAGTTCGAACTAGGGTAGCTAATGTAGTCATTCAAACTTGCAAATGAAGCCCGGGATTTAAATATTCCGGGCTTTATTTGCATGTTCCCGGGTGGGCGCCATTTTTAAATGCCCCATCCCCATAGTTCGAACTACCTTCCTGCGGCTACACACGGCACGGGTTAGGTAGTTCAAATTAAAGCTCCTAATTCAAACTACCATTACTCCTCCTGCAATGAGGAGTAATGGTAGTTTGAATTAGGAGCTTTAATTTGAACTACCTAACCCGTGCCGTGTGTAGCCGCAGGAAGGTAGTTCGAACTATGGGGATGGGGCATTTAAAAATGGCGCCCACCCGGGAACATGCAAATAAAGCCCGGAATATTTAAATCCCGGGCTTCATTTGCAAGTTTGAATGACTACATTAGCTACCCTAGTTCGAACTAGGGTGGCTAGTGTAGACATACCCTGGGATAGATACTGCTGGTACAAGCAGTTCCTACTTCACACTAATGTAATCCTATTCAAACAGGATTACATGAATGAGAACAAAGAACCTTTTAGTTCATACCTGCAGCATCTACACTAGTGAATTACAGTACTGTAGTTTGGCACATGTTGCTATTCACACACCTTTAATCCTAACTGCAGTGCAGTGTATGCAAATCCTAAGTATAAATAGGGAACAGAAATGTACCATGTAATATATCTCCAGACAAAACTGTAAATTTCACATATGAAATATTTCACTATGATTAACTGTTCATTAGAAGACCAAGAATTAGACATAAAAACTATTCATAACTATGTTTAAAAATTTTAGGCAGTTTGTCAGCAGAAAAATGATGGAAATACATAATGGATTAATCGCCCAGCTTTAAAAGGTGAATTCTATCTGTATGCACATCTATTCTCCTCTAAAATTACTCTTAATATATATTTCAGTAGTAGTACCCTGATTTATAGTGATACAACACACTTTTGAAAGTTCTAGGAAACTTAGATCATATTTTTTTCCTTTTTGAATGTTCTGTTCATTTTATCAAGTATCTTAATTTGGAGAAGAATCCTGCTGATCTTGTGGCTAGAGACATATATCCATGGCATTGTAGGAAACTGCTGAGCTTGACATTAAAAATAATAAACTGGTTTGGCATGCAAATTAGTTTGTCCCCATATGCAGGTTAACAGGTGTCTGCCCACTTCAGTAAGTGCTGGCAGAAAGGATTTGCTACTGTGTCTGTTGACAGCAGGCACACTACACCGGAGTACCAGTAGTGAGAATATTCCCTTCTTGTATTAACTATATGCTTCTTTGTGGCTCAGCAATATACTCAGCTTACAGTTCCCAATGATACACAGTAGCTGTCCCCATAGCAGCTGTGACCTTTTCCAAGCCTAGAAGTTTTAAGTTCCAGAGCTAGTCCTGAGGACAAGATGCAGAAGCTGGGCAGAAGGAAACAGTTTTCATAAAAGCAAATGGTGGATGCAAACTCTGACTATGGATTATAGTGTTGTTTCTCCGGAACTAGTGAAGAGTCCAGTGATGAAGTTGAGAAAATATCAGAGTCAGTGTTTACAAAACAATACTTAAAAATCATTTCATGTTGGATTGGTTGTTTGTTCTGCACTGAGTTACTGGCTACCATTAAATGGCACTTGTTAAAATTTGTTTTATGTCTAAAGTTTTATCAGTAATCAGTTGCATGTCTATAGATGTGAATGCAATTATTATGATCTTAACTAAGAGAATGGGTATTAATGTGTATGTATGTTGTAGAACAACATATGTACTGTATTTTAAATGCAGTTACACTCTACTTGTACTGATATTTCTGTACTGTTAAGAATACAAATTCAGTTTTTTTCTTCAGCATTTGAAAGTTTGAATGGGCATTTAATCTTACATAGAATGGGATTGCTGAACACCAGTTAAATAAACTCTTTAATGTGGCATTTGGCCAAGTATATGCTACCTTTTTAAAAATGATTAAGCACAAAACTTAAGGCAAACGTTCTTACAAAATGTTGAAAAAGCAAGGAAATTCTGAGCTGTCGTGTCTCAGTTTAGTTCCAGTAAATCTATTCTCTCAAGGGTGCACATATAGTATGGCATATAAACTAACTGAGTCAGCAATAAAAGGGCATATGTGCTATAGAAAGAAAGCATAACATTATGACATTAGTGGAGCTCAATAAATCAGAATTTACTTCCTGTTGTGGAAAAAAAAAACCTTACAATTTTTAACATAATAGTTATGACTTGATCAACTTTTTTTTAAAACCACTCATGCCATAGTAGTGTGCAAACAACTGGCTAGATATTGTTTCATTTTTAGCTAATAATTCATCAGCAGAGGCTGAGCATTATGGAAGCATTTTTCTCAGTTTCTGCAGGAAGGGAGTACCTGCTTTTCTTCTATAGCATCCTCTTTAGCTGAACAGTGTCTCTAAAGATTCAGACTAATGGCTATTCCATCATGAAGTCTCATATAATAAAAATAGTATGGTATTGCTACATGGCCTGGAGACTTTTGATTTCCCCAGTGTTATCTAAGGTTGTAGCTTCATAATATGGCAAATGATACAAGAGTCTCCTATTGCATAATTTAATTGTTCAGCCTTAAAATTTAATATAAAATCAGCTTCCTAATTAGGTGTTCAAAATTAATGTTAATATTGGTTTGCTTTCCTATTGTGCTGAGGGCTTTTGATAATCCCATCCTAACTGAGCCTTCCTCAAGGCCACAATCCTTTTCCAAACTCCCTCATCAGCAGACAGGAGAGTGTATACTGAACAGTACCTTGGATGCGATGTTGCCTGCTGTTATTTTTTTATAATACATCTACACACTCAAGTACCTATCCTGTGATTGTACAGGCCACCCTAAAGACTTTTGGGAACCCTTCTTTCCCTGCCTTCCACATCAACATCCATTACATATTTAGAATGATTCAGTTGTATATCTGTAATGAGATAATGAAAGGTGAGGTAAGGAATATATTAAATGTAATTTATTTGGGGAACACATGAGTCATAACCCAGAATATATGTATTTTAAACATATTTATGTGAATATCTTATTTTCTGACAACAATTATTGTTTTTGGCTTATGTAAATAGTATGTGATAAAGAACAAACCACTCACTCAGAAAGTGAAAAATATGGCATATGCCTAACTGAATATCTGATGTTATCAACAAAAGGAAATTATATTTCTCTTATTTCATCTGTATGAATTATTTCTTAAATTGTAACATGCTTAAAATTTGATTGAATCATGAACACTTTTCAGTGTTTATTAAAACACAAAACTTTGTAACATTCATTTCTCTTTCATGAGACATTTAAATAATGGCTCTAAAGTATAAAGATTGTTAACAGAAAGTTATATATTAAGGGCTGTGTTCTGTCTTTCAGGGAAGATGTCAGGACAGCCAATGTCATTGCCGCTGAAGCAGTAACTTGTCTTGTCATAGACCGAGAGTAAGTATATTGTTTTCTTATAATACAATACTGAATAGCTCCAATTGAGATCCATTAAAGTTCTTAACTAATGACTTTGATCATTTTGCAGGGAGATAGTTTAACTTACATTTTAAAAATTAATTAATGACTTTGAGTGATACATTTATAAGATAATATATTATTAAACTGTAATTGAATAATGCTTTTAAAAATCCTTCTTGTATACAATTTAATTTATGACCAATTAAGAAAGCGTAGATTCTAGCCACAAATGGTGAAAATTAAGACTATCAACTAAGTAGCTTTCTTAACACATTCACAAGCAAGTTTCAATATTCCCTGGGGATAAAGGGAAATTACTTAAGTTTTCTATAGTTTTCTTAATGACTATTTGCTAAAGTGTCTGGGCTATCACAAACAATTCTTTTGAACAATTCTGTACAAGCATTTTACTTATCATGTGGCTTAATCAAAAGAGCAATTAATAAATACAGTTATTAAAAAGAATCCTAATTGGTCATATTAGCAGCTGGTCTTTTTTCCAGTCAAATATGTTTTCATTTCACCATTAAAAATGCCCCAGAACAAGTATGAAATTATATATTTAAATTTAAATTTTTAAGACCGAAGTTAATCCACAGTGTATGCCAGAAATTCCTAGCAATGTTCTGCAATTAAGAGAAGAGTAGTTGCACAATACTATTTATAGCTCAAGGCAAACATAACTGTTCTGTGGCCGTAGAGAGTCTGATTTTGCTGTCAGTAGAGCTATTATCAACATTTAATTGATTATTTTATAAAGGCAATGGTAAGCGGAGAAGCTTATTTTAGTACCATGAAAATCTATTTTGAAGTGTTTAAAGTACTTATTTAAAGCCTTGTTTAACTGTTAACATTAATACCTAGACAATTTTGGCTCATCTTATATATCATTCTAGCTATACTTTAATTTTAGAAGCATATATTTCATTTTTCTCTGGATTATATTTGTTTTCCTTTACAAAGGCCTCTTCTTCCAAAGTCTCCAGTGTTGTTCTAAGATTGTATTTTGTAATTACAGCCATCTTTTGAGCTATCTATTTATCTATACCTATAGAACAGGAAATTATTTGGATATTTCAGATGATACTGTCTGATAATTGTTGATAAATACTGCACAATTACTGAGTTCACATTCCAGTAACTCCAAACTCAGGCACCAGTTTTATTCAGCCTTTCCAAGAATACTTGGTTTTTAAAACATTAAGTCTGGCAGGAATTTTTTTTAAAGGTTATGAGCAGCAGGATGGGAAATATTAATGGAAATTAGGACTCCACACTTAGTAGCAGATACTGCGCCCTATTATGGACAGAGCTGGAAGTGATGCCTAGAATTACATTGTCTACAATTATCCATTATAAAATCCTGTTTTCAGTTGCTTATTACTTTGCTAAACTTTAGCCATTTGGCTTAGGTGGCAGGTTTTTAAGATGGGGGAGACTGTGCCTCTCTAAACAGCATATTGTAGCCCCGCTCATGCTCTTCTCCCAGGCCAGGCCCTCTCCTGGAGATCCCAATGCTCTGCTATTGCTGGTTGGCAGGTGCTGGCTGACCTGTATCCCAGGTTGGTGGGTGTTGGCTGACTTTATCCCACAGTGACTCAGAGCAACTAGTGCTGGGTCTACACTGCCTGCCCAGCATTGGACCATTCTGCTGTGCCACCCAGTGCTTTGTGGCTGGCTGTCCATTGCACAGGAACTAGGAGCGATGAGGCTGTACTGCCAAGCTGCTTGGAAAACTGGGACTGGGGCTGTTGTAGCCATACTGCCTGGTGTACTAGGGTTGGGGCCTTGCCCTGCCCCCCACCTCCTAAAACTGGGGTCAGGGACCATGGGGGGGTACTCTGGGCTCCTGTAAGGGAGGGGCTATAAGGTAATGGGTGGGACAGGACCTCCAGCACAAAGGAAGAGGCCAGGAGCTAAGCTCCCAATGGCTGAGGTATCGGCCACCCATGCCATTTGGGCTAAAATTTTTCATGTATGTGTCTGCCTCAAACTGAATAGTTATGGAAAGTTTCAGCAACAGTGATGTGGTCATCTCCAAAAACCAGTGATGGAAAAATGTTGAATTAGATTCATTGAGATTCATTAGATTCATTGAGAAATTCTAGCACTTCCTTGCTTTGGAGAAGAGATGAGGGATTTGGCAGGCAGATTACTCTGTGGTCAGAAAAAATGCCTATTGTTGTTGTAAAAGTAAAATTTGGCCAATTTATAAGCTTCTCAAGTTTCTGTTTTCACTGAGCATGTTCCAACCCCATGTTCTTCTCAGGGTCCAGACCTATTAGATTTTGTAGGGCCTCCTAGGTTCCAGGTTGGGGCCAAAAATTAGGGGTTCAGTGTGTGGGAGGAGACTGTGGGTTGAGGCAGGAGGGTGAGTGCTGTATGGGACGGGAATAGGCTCTGATTGAGGGTGCAAGCTCTGGGGTGGGGCTGAGGTTAGGAGATTGGGGTGGCAGTTTCAGAGCCTGGGCAAGAGTTAGGGTGCTGGAGCAGGCTCAAGGTTGAGATGCAGGATCTGGGAGTGAGTTAGGGATTTAAGGTGCAGCAGGGAGTTTGGGGTCGGAGTGTGGGGTCCAGGAGGAGTTAGAGTGTGAGAAAAGGCTCAGGCTTGGGGTAGGGGTTTTGAGTGTGGACAGGTACCATTTGGTGGAAGGCGGGAATGGATGGATCCACACAGCCCCACAATCCCCCACCCCAAGCAGCTCCCATTGGCCACAATTCCAGGTCAATGGGAGCTGCAGGGGCAGAACCTCCAGGCAAGGGCTGTGTCGGGATAGTTTCCTGGCACTCATAGCAACACAAGTTCCAGCCCAGGGAGGAACAGCAGCACATGGATCCACCTCTCCCTGCTAGGAAGGGCAGGTCTGGAACACAGCAGCCCAGGGCCGGGCTAAGGAGTGGTTAGAGGGGCCCTTGGGTTGCAACCCCTAAAGCCTCTTTCTTAATCTGGCTTTGCCTGTGTTGCAGGAGCTGAATAGGACTTTCTCTGCAGCTGCTTCTCCCAACTGCCAGGATCCATTATGGTTCTAGGTACCAGAATTAAGATCAAGGTTATTGTTTCACCTGTGCTCTAAATGCTCTCTTCCTGATACATAGGCAGCATGGAGTAGGAGGAGGAGGAAGCACCTGGAGTCCAATAGAGGATGGTGAAGCATGCTCAGGGGGACAAAGCTCTGGGGTGATGGTGGTGGTAGTAGTAGAAGGATTGACAACTTTTAGAGTGCATTCTCTTCCAGATCCTGGAATAGAACCCAAAATTCCCGAGTATCATATTAGTTCTCTATTATCTAGTACCATGGTGTTCAACACGCTAGCCGCCAGCCACTGCCCACATGTGGCTATTTGGCCAATTGAGTGTGGCTAGTTGGCTTGAACAATGTGGCTAGTTGGCGGTTGGGTGTAGCTAGTTCCCTCTAGCATTAGCCATAAAGTGGCTACTGCTTCAGAACAGGTTGGACCCCACCCATCTAGCAAACACCATTTGACAGAATATGTATCTTAGCCACCTCTTTTCTTCAGACTGAGAATAGCAAGCGACCAGTTAGGCGATTAGCTAAAGCAGTGGAAGTCTGCCGTTAATTCAAAGTTTCTAACCCTGGTGGATTCTTGGACTCTAAAACTGAGGAAACTATCAGTGTCTCCATTTTCATCACAAATCTTACACTCTAGCTATGCCTCTGTTAAAACTTTGGGGAGGTTTGTAAATGTGGGCCAAATTTAGAGTTAACTTGGGCTAAGTTTCCGTTGTTGATGAGAGAGTTTGGGATTTAGGTGGAAATCACTCCGAAATCTTGTTTTGCAAGGGTTAAGTCCAAACCCAGGCCAAGGCAAGCAAGTTGTGGATGAGTTCATTTCAGTGTTATTTCAAACCTAAAGAAGCGTGAAAGACGGTTTGCATGAAACCACTGTGAACTGAAACCACCAAGTGAAACACAACTCTATGTGCTATGCAATTAGTGATTGAACGGACCGTGAACTAGGTCAAATGGTATCATGTAGCTCTACTTTAAATACCGTAATTTCACTACTTCAGTTTTATTTCATGTCTCAAGAAGCTTTTGTTTTCATTGCTTTGTAAAGCTATAAAGTACTGACAGTGTTACAAGGTTTCTGACAACATGTTCTCTGCAACAAAGCAACTAACCTGGTCAGCATGCTGTGATTATTAGGTTGCCCATTTATGAAAAGTTTGTCTTTGAACAAAATATTTTCAGCAACTGCTATTGATCTATAAACGAAGGAAAATAGAAGACTAACAACCATTCTGGTACACAGATAAGGAGATCAGAGTGCAAAGTCTTATCTGTTCAGATCCCATTAAAGTCATATGAGTTTGTGCAGTTGAAAACATGTGAAATTCTGAAAATATAACCCTGCTATTAAGGGAGATCTCTCCTTTTTATTTGTCAAAGACAAATAGGAAAGATGGAGGGGGTTACTAAAGTAATTATGAAACGCCACTCTTACACCATTTTTCAAGTCACTACTACCTGTGTAGTGCAACTTGTACACAGACCCAGTTCTTGGGTTGGTTGCATTTCCTGACCATCTGGTTTCCTGTACATGGAGTACATTGCTGTTTCTTCAGACCACCTTCTCTGCCAGCTACGTGCTTTTATCCGCTAAGGAAGACACACTGTGACTTACAAAGATTTCTAGTTATTTGGGTTGTAATCTTAATGACCCAGAGCTGCCAAGTTTGAGGCTGGCAAACAGGTTAGGGGGAATTCCAGGTATGTGTAGGCTGGATGAGCCATCCCTTAAAACCAGTGACTATTCGCATCCTTTTAGTGGAAGGTAAAAATTAACAAAGATCCAGCGTGTAACCTACTGCCACAATCTAAGTTGCTGGCTGGTGAAGCCTGTCAGTACTCACAGCTCAGCTGCAGTTTCTTTCTTTAAGGGTATTACACATCTGCTTGGCTCTCAGGAGTTTATACATGGTTTCTCTTTGTCTCTTCATAAGAGTGCTGCTG